GAACTAAATTAAAATGAGGAGAGTAGCATAGGGGCTAACAGGAAGAAGTGAAGAATGCATTAGTACATGAATGAACTGACTGATTTTCTGAGTCATTCAGTTAATTGTAGACTTCTCGGTGGATGTCTGCTCAACCATTTTAATTGATTGTTGGAAACGTTATGTTGAGTGTTACATTATCAATCATACCACTTTCTCTTTTCATCAAAATTTTGAGTTAAATAAGATTTCTGATTTAGATTCTTCCAGCTGATTTATTTTCCATGAACTGTATTTTAAATGTTGATACTTTCAAAGCAGTCAAAATTGGTTCCTTTTTCTTGTTTTTCATCATATCAATTTTCTCTTTTATTACGGTTATATGAGGTACAAAAATGTTATACGTTGATGATGAGTGATTAATAGCAAATAAGGAATGGACTGTTTCTTTGCATATTGCTTCTATATTGAATTCAAATTGTTAGTTATTAAGTACAGTTTCTATCTGAAGTTTGGGCTGATGATGTCGTTCAGAAGAACGATGAAAGCTTCACGAGAAAACCATCCAGCTCAGAGAACAAGACTCCATCAAAGTACAGTTTGTACTCTATTCTGGAATAATACATACACTTACTCTGAAGTGGTACTATATCCGCATTTTTAATTTCAGATGATAGCATAGAATGGGTTTACATTTAAAGGGTAGTAATACAATTTATACAGTTAAATCACAACAAGGTTGATGAAGGAAACTCATAAACAAAATGACCTTTTTTATATACATATGTACACATTATATTAAGTCAGTTGAAAATTCATATGAAAAAAGATTTCAATACATATTTTATGGTAGTTCAGTGTGAAATACAAAAGAAATACAGAGTAGAAATGATGAAGTAAGTCAGAATACTTATAAGGAGAGGAAAGAACAAGATTTAAGGTGAACATAATTTAACAGTTGTAATAAAAGGCTTATGAAATTATAAAGACAATGTCCTTTATCTTTAGTTTCGTAGGTTCATAGGTCTCAACCTTACTTCATTGATTTTTGTTTTGGGCAACTTTAGTCAGTAGTCCTCACTTAAAATGTATGTCACAAAGCCAAATACACGAAAAATAACCTGATTACTGATTGAATTGGAAATTATTTATAAACCTGTACACTAGTCTTACTGATTTCAGTAGTCATCTACATATAGGTCGTTTATTTTAAAAGCGACAACTAATTACGCGAAAAAAAGGAATGATTATGAGAACAACAAGCATTACTGCGTTAAAAAGCTTCATTCCTTCTTCAAAATACAGTGTATTTGTCGCGAACAAATAATACTTTGAATATCGAGAGTATTGTTTGCAACATCATTTTAAACTCTCTCCTAAAAATAGAGGCAAACAGATACATCCTATATTGATACAATCATTATCAATTTTATGAGTATTACATTGGCTCTTCGTATCATTTCTGTTTCTCATTACTTTATTGTGAGTTTCTTGAGTACATTCAAAGTAACATAAGATATAGAACATGAAATTTTGTAAAATATAAAAGAAAAAAATTGCATTTTTTAATATCAGAAGGGGTTTTGTGGATTTTATAGTAATTTTAATAGTTGGGATCATGAGTCACTTGAAGCTAGACTATCACGGAAAACCTGGAAGCACTGGACGGCCGTTTCGTCATATTGTGAGACTTTTCAGCAATCCGCTTCCACGATCTCGCCTCGCGAGATTCAAACGCAGGATCTATCCGTCTAGCGCGTGAGCACCTAACCTCTAGACCACCGGCCGTCATCCAACTGTGCTAATGTCGAACTTCAACCAATCCACCAAATTGAGCTACTGTCCACCATTGTCTTCAGTGAGTTACCATCTTACAACAGACCCGGTTGAACTCTAATGGTCACCGCTTCTCGGTAAAACTTCAGGAAATACCTCTTGGAGGCAGTCACTAGTGAGCTTTAATTGACTCATGAATTCAACCATTTAGTCACTGAAATCTCCACAAAACCTCTTCCTGATTATTATTTAGTCATTATTACGACTTTTATTGTTGTGATAGTATCGGTTCGAATTTGAACAAAACCTTTCTTTTTAAGAAATAAAGTGTTATCATTTTGGACTTTATTGAAATATTTAAGACAGTATTATTCATTACATCACTGATGGAATCTCTTTATTTACTAATACTTTTCCTTCACAATAAAATCTATAAAATTTCGGAGCACAACTTAAATTTTCACTCTCTTATTCTTACGAAACATTCATTCCATTATTATAATTGTTGAAGAATGAGGTATTTTTGTGTTAAAAATAAATAAACAGTTTCCTGTCACTTTGGTATGGAATGTTTCGCAATCATATAGGGATTTTCATAAATGTAGTGTAGAATTAAATTTAATGGCTAAAATACTAGACATCAGTAAAACCGTCACCTTTTATACCATTTTGTGAGGAGACTGAAGCTTGAAGGTATTGTATTTAATTAACCAATCTATTTATTATTTTGAACTGGGGATAGTTGATACGTTTGAAGATGAGTGTGTAAAATTAATAAAGCTCAGACGAACATGGTCGTTTCCTCGAGAAAGATTATTTATTCCCTATCTACTCTTTAATAATGTTTATTTTCATTTAAAACACCATTAATATTTTTCGTAAATTTTTGGGTGATGTTCCTGAAATTAATTCAACTGATTTCAGTGCATTAGGTAAACGCTCTGTTATTATATTGTGTGAAGTATTTGCTAATTCTTTTAAAAAATAGGTGTATATCTATTTCAGTAACATGAATTCAATACAGGTAGTAAATTTGCCTCCAATACGGCCATCAATTTGAAGATAAAGACACGTTACTTGCCTATTATGTTAATGATTTACGGTCTAAGTATTTTAAAGTAATTTTGGTGTATTTAATAAGTCTTAAGTGATTGATATGTAAAACTCTTTTCATATCAATGCTATGATACACTCTTGAAAGTGACGGAGATAAAGCGAAGATATATAACTTGGATCCTCAAAAGTATTCTGATGTAAACATTTAGCAGTGGTTTAGTGAAAAAAATTGATTATTAATAAATCCGATGATTATCCTTTTACAATTCCATAATATCCATCTACAAATTTACATCACTGAAGCTGAATCGTGTACTAAATTGACACCTAAATAAGCATTTTCATAGTGGGATATCAAATTTCGGACAAATACTCTTCTAAGAAAAAAATTATTTTTGGAGAAAGTGCGCAAAACTTTAAACCGAAAGACATCGTTTGAGCTTATAGTGTAGTCAACAGTAACAACAGTTGATTGTGCAAAGATTCTTCGAGTATTTCAGAAATAAATTGTCCTGCATAAACATTCGTTTTCATATGATTTTTCGTCTTAACTGTAGCACAATTTTATATGGATTTAATTACAATGTGGGCACAGTTTTCCAATTGGGAGGTTAGAAAAATACATAATATTTTTAAGTTGTATTTCTGTCTAATACTTCAAAGTTTTTGTGCTTAAACCTACTGAGTTGTAGTAATTAAGACAATCGTATACTAATCAACTGGTATCTTGATCATTAGTTAATATATTCATTCTAATGAACAGCTGTCTCACTAAATGTTAGAAATTTTATCTGTACACGTTGATCGGTATCCTGCAATGATAAACTATAATCAAAATGTCCTTGTAGAGATCAGTTATACGATAATTTATTGTATGTTGAAATAGAACTCAGTATTGATTTCATCATAATATGAGTTAATAACTCTTCACAATGTAAAAACAAACGTGAACATAATGAATACCATTTGTAATTTTTGACCCGTATTCACCAACATAGGCTAGGAATTAGTGCGAATGTTCAATGAGTTCTAAACTTAAGCGATTTCCACGAATTAATTGAAAAAAAACTTTGAAAAAAAATGAATGTTTTCTGTTTAATATGGTTCTTGATAGGACGTAGATGAAAAATAAATCACTATTATAGATCATTTACCAGCTTTCGGATGTATATTTTTCTACGTAGGTTTCGATCTATGAAGATTACTTCGTACAAATGTCAAACTGTAAACTACACGAATTTGTTACTCTGACTTTATTGAAACCAAATATGAACATCTTTTTATATTATGAATTAAAACGCTTTCATGTACTTTTATGCTAGTCGAAAAAAGATTGTGTCACTTATCATTAATGATTTCATTGAAAAAAAAGTTAAACAAGCATGTTAGAGTAATTTTATGTGTACTTAGGGAGTAATTCCCGTCAATATGATTGATATCCGTTAAGGAATCATATAAAGTTAGAAAACATTGTACACTTCTTTCGTTGAAGATTTTGATACTTCTTAACCGTACAATTCAGTTACCATAGGATATAAGATACTTATACATTGATGTATAAATCATCATTGCATAATGGAAATATAATATTTCCTATTTTCATCTTCAGTCATTTTGAGATATATCGTATATGAATTATTTTCTCGATTGGTAAATTAATAAAACCTAAGTATTCATTGACCATGTACTTGTGAATAACATAAGATTTTGTATTGTATATAAAAGCAATTTGCAAAGTGATATAGAAGCAAATAAATAATGAAAATAATAACATTTTTCTTTATCTTATAAATGAAACTAAATAAATTGAATATATATACAAACTAAAATTCAACCCATTTCACAAGCCAGTGGCTATTCGGACTCAATAGTTAAGTGGATAGCGTTTGAAGCGAACGGTACTGAGTTTGAGTTCCGAGGTGAACATCAACTCTGGGATGCAGGCACATCCAATTGATGAGTCCTAAATAGGGAGAAATGTGTGTCGTGAATTTCATTGCATGCCGATATCAACCTCTACCTAAATGAATTGAACTTGAAAAAAAGTAAGCTAATTTCAGCGATAAGATTGTCAGTAGTTCCGTATATACCCTCATGGTAGATATGTTTAGAGTAATTCTCCAAATCGTCGATAAACTTATAAGTATAAATAAAATACATAGAAATTAAATACAATAACCCAAACTCACATGTTGGCTCTTTCCTAGGATACGTTCTTTGTTGATATGAGTTGACACTGGCCAAACATTGTGTATGATGCATTTTTCAATTGACATGAAATGGAAATTATGGCATAACGATGCCCCAAACACCACAGATAAATAAAAACGATAGAGAGGAACTGACTAGAACATATATATATATATATATATATATATATATATATATATATATATATATATATATAGCGAGGGAGAGCGAGTCTATGACATGATAATCACTTGAGCCCACTTACTTGTATTCTTATGCATAGAAATATGCCAAAATTACTTGTAGTTATAGTAGTAGTACTTATAGTGGTTGAAATAAATGAAATATGTATTGATTATACAGCAAGATGTAGTGAGAATTATTCACTTGTCCTAGTTCAAGTACTGACTAACATGTTAGGTTACATGTATTTTCTAACTTATTATTTTCATATTCCTCTTATTCTCAGTCATACTTTCATTTTATTGTTCATTCACCCTCTCTATTTTCCCAGTTATCACTTTTAATATCTTCATTTCATGTTAATTTTAGATCATTTGACAAACCAAGTGATAAGTTGCAACTAATTAATGAAGATTCAGCAAATATGAAACCTACGATCTATATGTTTTTCATTATTGATTATCTTTTTTTTTCACTACTTGTGATTATCATGACAATGATGCTGACGATGATGGAAACAATGCAAGTACTTATCATTTCTAAGTTAGCAAACATAATAATATTAATTGTGATTAAATACATATATAATTCACATGACGTAATTGCTATACAGTAATAAATTTTTGTTACATTGATTTACACGAAAGAAAACCGCATACTTTTCAGTCATGATGAATTACAAAGGCTGATTAAGTAGTATCGGAGTAGTTACTTGTTGGTTTCAATCAATTAATTGAGTAAACAATTCATGATAAACTGAATGTATTGATCGACTTTAGATGTGCTAGTGTTATTTGACTGATGAATTGTGTAAAAAACAACTTTCATATTCTTTTCTTAGTAATGTGTTTTGTTTGAAAATTAAACTGTTTAAGTTTATTTATCATTTTATGGTTTTCAGTCTAAGGCAATTGAATATTGTGGATTGACTGATAATGAAACACAAAAACAACTGCATATACTTCAGTTGAATAGAATGTTTCTGAAGTGTCCTCAGAAAACATTCTACAATAATCAGACAAAAGGTTAAAGATTGATGCATGTTAAAGGGTTTCACTTCTTGTGGTCAATAAAGTTTGTTTTACTGATGATTGGCGTTGGAATTCTTTCTGAAATAAGTTTTATTTTGTCAGTTGGAAACTGTTTCTGTATGTATGAAAAGTAAGTTTACTCACATATGCATCAATCTATTCATCAATTCCTGTGAGCCAAGGTACATTAACTGAAGTCAGCAGTTGTCTTCATTGTGCATGCGAAAATACAATCTAGCTTATGTCTGATGGTATGAAAGAGAAAACATTCGACCACCAAGCATTTAGTTGACTGTTAATAAAAGTTAACTTTTCTTTTAAAAGTCGTTTACAAACTTTATTCGCATTTACCTAGATTTCATAATTTCTAACTAAGAACATTAGTACGTTTGATTATGATTGAAATAGAATCTGAATTCTATGTTTAGAAGAACTATAAATCATTTTTGTCTTGAACTTGATCTTGACCTATCATTAGTAATGTTATTACTATTATTTCCTTGATGGGATAAGATACGTGTCCATGAATTTGCAGCTCATCTGCTTTTGCGTGTTTGAAATGTGTGGATCATTTAGCAAAGTTCCATTCTTTTGGTGAGTGAATGTTGAGTATAAAAGCAGAATTTTCAGTGGGATTTTGTCATAATCTTCAACTCTTACTTTATATGTTTTTACATCCAGCAAGCTGAGAAGCGCAATGTTAGCATGTTCACAAAAGACATTTGTAGATAGCTTTAGACGATTTAAATGAGGTTTCAGGTCAAAACTGAATATTGAATACAGGCACACCAAAGGAATGGGGGAATTCTCGAAAATGACAACTATAGCACTTTTATTGAACATTGTATAAGGTGGTTCTTTCCACATTCCTTAATGATGTTTCCCATCTGTTTGACTTCCTAATCAATAATCATTTATTATATCATTCAATATCATCACTGTTCGTCATGGGATCAACCCCTTCAAACTTTGCGCAAATTCAATGGGAGTCATTAAACGTTTATATTTTTTGTTCTCTTAGAAACTATGAACTCATTGATATCCCTTTAGGATTAATATTTATTTATCTTTTCATCAGCACCTCATATTTTATGAATTTGTCAAGTGTATACACGATATCTGGTACTTTGGCTATAAAGTATATACATATTATGCTATAATAAAATATGGATGAATTATTATTTGCCATCAATCGGACATAGAGCTAATCTATCAGCTTATGATTTATTCATGTTGATCTATTAACTACAATTACACCAATGCAAATTTAATTGGATGCCAGCTCAGTGTTCCAGTAGGTCAGGAGTTAGCGCGCGAGACTGAAGGCCCTGGGTTCGAATCCCGCGTGCGGGATCGTGGATGCGCACTGCTGAGGAGTCCCGCAATAAGACGAAACGGCCGTCCAGTACTTCCAGGTTTTCAATGGTGGTCTAACATCAATCGGTTCATGATCTCAATCAAAAACGTAACAATCTCCACAAGGCCTAAACTGATAATTCTGCATAGTTTGTCGTATTTGCTGTTTGTGACTTTTCTCTCTATAAAATTTACAATTCATTGAAAATTAATTCTAACATCTATAAAGATTGAAGGAAATTTAAAGCAGAATTAAAATAGAAATGATTATTTCTATACAGAGTAACAAGTGTGAAATTTAAGAAAGCTAATATACAGAACTTGTAGTGCAGTGCAGCAGTAGAAAAAAATGAATACAAGTTAACCAAGGTCCGAATCTGTCATAAACAAATATTTGCTTTGATAAATAATTGAAGCTAGCCTTTAATTGCGTGCCTGATCGTTTAAACTGCAAAACCGTGCATGGAGGACAGTTCACAGACTCGTTCGAAGTAAAGACCGGTGTCAGGCAAGGTTGCTTACTCTCACCCTTTCTCTTTCTCCTGCTGATCGACTGGATCATGAAGATTTCAACGTCTGAAGGGAAGCACGGGATACAATGGACATCTAGGATGCAGTTGGACGATCTAGACTTCGCAGATGATCTGGCCCTTCTATCCCAAACGCAACAACAAATGCAAGAGAAGACGAACAGTGTGGCAGCAGCCTCAGCAGCAGTAGGTCTCAATATACACAAAGGGAAAAGCAAGATTCTCCGATACAACACAGCATGCACCAATCCAGTCACAATTGACGGAGAAGATTTGGAAGATGTGAAAACCTTTACATATTTGAGCAGCATCATTGATGAACACGGTGAATCTGATGCAAATGTGACGGCGCGGATCGGCAAAGCAAGAGCAGCATATTTACAACTGAGGAACATCTGGAACTCAAAGCAACTGTCAACCAACACCAAAGTCAGAATTTTCGATACAAACGTCAAGACAGTTCTACTGTATGGGGCAGAAACCTGGAAAACTACGAAAGCCATCATCCAGAAAATACAGGTGTTTATTAACAGTTCTCTACACAAAATACTTAGGATCCATTGGTCAGACATTATTAGCAACAACCTACTGTGGGAGAGAACAAACCAGGTCTCAGCAGAGGGAGAAATCAGGAAGAAGCGCTGGAAGTGGATAGGACACACATTGAGGAAAGCACCCAACTGATTCACAAGACAAGCCCTCACATGAAATCCTCAAGACCAAAAGAGAAGAGGAAGACCAAAGAACACATTACTTTGAGAAATGAAAACAGACATGAGAGAAATGAACAACAATTGGATAGAACTGGAAAGGAAGGTCCAGGACAGAGTGGGTTGGAGAATGCTGGTTGTTGGCCTATGTTCCATCGGGAGTAACAGGCGTAAGTACGTAAGTAAGCTTTTTAGTAATTTTTTTTAAAACGAAACGGATATCCACCCAAATTTTTTATTAATTCTTAGACTTTCGAACTGGAATCAAATAGTTATCTAATGCTCACAAGTTTACAACAGTTCGTCAACTGAAGTCATTTCGCGACAAGATGTATTCCAAAAGTAAACTAATCTGTATAACTTGTGAAACTGAGAAATAATCCTGTCTTATGAATGAATGAATACGAATTTCCTTAGGTTAATTATAAATTATTGAGTTAGCAAAACATGACAGCGTAACTTACTGAAAATTAACAGATCTCAACTGGTCAGTCTTTATCATGGTTATAATATTTATTTTCGCAATACACTATCTATCAATCTATTTTCATTGTCAAATCAATTATATACACTTTCAGCTACGCATAAAATGAGATTCAAAGCAATGATACATTCATAAACATTAAAGTTATTGGTCATAAAAAAAAGATAAATGTTTGATGGTATTTTCACCATGGGTATTCAAATGAAATTTCAACCGTATATATGTATGCATATATCATTTCAATGAGAGAATACTAAATGACAGTTTATTTAAGAAGTGATGATAACCATATCATGTTTATGTCTAAAGTTACGATAAGAAAAATGACTGAAATAAATTATTCTTGTCTACTATTTATTTAATGAAAAATACAAAATAGGAGCAATAACGAAAGTTTCAACACTATAATGTATGAGAAAGAAAACGGTGCTTAAAAGATTAAACATACCTTCCTGGAGTACTATGCTGTTGCAGTTGATAAGATCGTTGAAATGATGAACTTGTACTTAAATATTGTTGTGTTTCCATATTTGGTGATCGTCTTGGTACTGAATGACTTGGTGAAATTAGATTTCTAGAATCATTTATATTTTCAATACGTTGATGTCTTTCATCAACTAAACTCATTGCACGTCTAAGATTAGCTAATTCTTCTCTTGCTGTTTGTAAATCATTTTCAAGTTTTTTTCACGTCTAAAAGAGTCATGACTATTTTCAAGACGAACTGAAACAGCGGATTGTGCCTTAAACAAATAATAAAGTTGAAAAAGAGTTAAAAGTATAAATACGTTAATTGAATTTGAAGAGGTGAATGAAAGTTTACTTTTGATATATGGTTATGTAATAAATTTAATAGTGATTGTTATTTTTACTTAGAGTGATTCTAAACACTATTGCACATTCGAGAAGGTAAATTGTATATTCATTTCTGGTTTATACCTTATTATCATTGTTAAGTTATAAGGCAAGGTTTGATATGTACAGTCAACAAAATTGGAAATGGGGCAACAAAAAACTGAAATGTCGATTAAAGATAAGGTTTTACTGTTAATTCGCTAAATAGGAACTCGAGCCGATCAACTCTGACTAAGTTCCTCGATGCTATTAGGATAGTGGTGTAAACGGAATTTTTCGGCCTGCATCATAAAAGGGTCATGAAGCAGTCGAATGACTTTTAGTCTTTTAGTGTATCTGCAGCTGTGATGAAAAGAAAGATTTCCAAAAATCAGCTGAGAAAATAATACCATTGTATTTAGTAGTAAATAACTGAAATTGTGACTGATGAATTTCTATAATGATGAGGTAGAAATATTTATCATCGTTCTTATTGAACTTTTGTGGTACTTCAATCCGAATGGACTGAACTTAAAAATCTGAACAACTGAATTCTAATGCACGGGAAATTAAAAACCTATCTACTAAATAACAGCTTACCATAGTTTTGTGTAGGAAATGTTAGTATATACACTCCACATAAAAAAATAGACAAGAACCATATAAACTAAGATATCGGGTTCGAGTCTCGAAGTGAACATCAACTCTGGGATGCAGGTACATCAAGCTGCCGAGTCCCGAATAGGACGAGACGCACGTCCTGGATTCTGCTGCTAGCCACCAACCATCTTTACTTATAACTAAGATATGAGTTTCGAATTGATGAAAACTTACTCAAGTGACAAAATCTTTTTATTGATAATTCCGAAAATACCAAATGAAAAATTTCAATTTCTTTTGTTTTAAACCTGAGTGTTAATCGATATATAAATGGAATATGAATATGCTAAGGGAAATTGCTGTAAGATATAATACACTACTTACAAGTAGTTCTAATTAAAATGTCAAATTTAAAAGATAGCTGTTTTCTATGAATACGTAATTTTCTACGTCAATCAAGTACCACATCAAGTTACATATAGGTATTTAATTGTCTGTCAGTGATGTAATAAACACCAAATAAGACGTTTTACTCATAACTTTGTCATTAAGAGGATGTAGTGCTTAAAAAAGGTAAAGTCCACATAGTGATAATTTACGGGATTAGAGGGATGAGACTAGATAAAACCAATATACAGTGGATAGTATAAAAGAAACAAAGTGTTTTGTAACATGTGTTCATTTCATACGATTAGTTTGGTTTAATGGGAAAATAATCCAATCCATCCAATCATTTTAGTGTGTGATTTCTGTCAGAAAAGTTTTCCTTTTGAATTTTGGTTAATTTTAATATGTTGGTTGCGAAGCTGTGAAGTCAGTCAAATTTCCTGAGGCTGTTTTTGGCTAACGTGAAAAAAATTCCTTTTACCAAAATATCAAGAATAGTATCTATATATTAATCCTTGATTCCAGTTGATTCAAATTTATTTTACGACTTCTAAACCAATGAATAAATCAATCTTAAACCAAAGTTCTTCAGGGAAATATCTTATCTATGTGTGTATCTATCTAAAGAAAAGTGATTCACAAGTTCATTTCAAATTGTACAATCTCTTAACTTACCATTTATGTATAAAATATGAGGTGTCTGTGTTAGGACAAGTGTAAATATCGATAGAAATAACTATGGTTAGGGGGAGATTTTGATTGCATGAAAGAAATATTACAATGATGATTCATTAAATACATAATTATTTAGTGTTTTCACTTTAAATGAATAGGTTTTCGCTTAGTATTTTATGATGTAGTCATTATTAACGAATTATACAGCAACGGAAATGAGGAGATAAAACATGGCCGTGCTCAGTATACATGAAATCCAATAGGCGCAAGCTGGATGGAAAAGATTACCTTCAGGAAAGGTGCTGTTGTAACCTGATCATAAAGAAGAAACTGCTTCACACACTCAGGGAGTTTCTCTGATGCTGTCCAAAGAAGCATCAGAAGCACTTATAGGATGAGAAACTCGTTAACTCAGAACTATCAATGCATCGTTCAAAACAAGGAAGAAGGAGATCACAATGAATGTCATCCATTGTTATGGTTACAAACCCTAAAACATCCGTTCCATTTGAAGTATTTTATGAAAAAGAAATCTACAGTTTATAAGGCAAAATAAAAACAGAGGTGATTCATTCGAATCAATATTCTGGTGTAGTTTAACATCATTCAGATTTATAAGAAAGTCTGTGTTTTTATGCAAATGCACATACGAATATGTGCATCTGCATGGGTATGTGCAGCCGCATTAGTTGCCTGCATAACGAAATACAATAATAATACTATTAATGAATATATGTTATTTCTGTTAGTTATATTCTATGACCATAAAATGAACATTTTGCTTGTGTATTCCGTCATTCTTTGTATGCTTTGGTTTTATTGTTATCAATCAATTCTTTTGTGTTTCTTTATGATGACTACAGTAACAACTATGAATCAGAATCTCAACTCTAAGATTATTACTACCGGAACTTAAGGATCTTATACATGTGCGATGATGTTTAAATGCAACATAAGGTACTTGATCTTTACACTCAGTGATTACTGTATGGTAAGTACTATGATATTTGTTTATTCCTTAATGGTGACGGAATTCTTTCGACTAGGTTACAGTATGACTACTAGTGTAATCGAATTACCATCGGCTACACAATATTTTGATGTCAGGTAGTTGGATACAATGGCTAGGGAACCCTATTGGATCTAGGTTTAGTGCTAATTGGTGCTCGCCTGTAATCACCAGGGTACTGATGTTTCATATATACACCTCGAAAATGTATTACTTGAATTCACAGAGGCGATAACACTAAGAGATTCGGATCACTATTGAACTTCTTTGTTGTGACTTGTGTCATGATCTTCTAATTGTCTCTTATCAAGAACAATCTATTACATCATAAAATAAATTTATGTTGTTTCATTTATTTGAATATACTAACTAGAAGTGAAGAAGAATAAATACAAAATAGAATGTAATGACCAACACATCTTAGAAGGATAGTTTGTTATTCGACTCCATTTTCATTGTGAACTTTATATCCTCGAAGACTTTGTTAAGAAAATTACAGGTATCCCTTTTTTAATGATAATCAATATGACTTCGATAAAATGAATAAACATTTTTGGCTTGATCACTGTTAAAATCGAGGCTTAACCCTCGACATTTATGCTTCAGCAATAAATCCCAACATCGGTGATCCTATTGGCGTTCTGTTCGTAAATTTTAATGTTAAATTGAAAATATGTTAGACATACGTCGATGAATTCTAACAAACTATAACTTAAAAGCTCTGTGTACGTTATGACATTTATGTCAGTGAGGAGGAGCAGGATAAAGTGTCTTTTGTTAACTCTAGTTAAATTGACCTGAGTATGGCTGTAGCATAAAATGATATTATCAGTTAATCGTTGTTGATTTTAACTTTGAAAACCTTATCCAAAGATTGTATGGATGATTTAACGGAATGATCTAATGAGAATCCACCAAATGTCTAAATATTCTTGAATTTTCTATTGATAAATTTTACATTATGGTTCCAGGGAGTGATACAATTGAGAGTATTGGGACATTTGTTTTGTGTAGATTTGGCTTACCATCATTGATCTTGTTTATATATTTTTCCTGCACTGATAAGATTTTTTAAAATTCTAGAAACCTGATTGTTCAGCTTTTTGACTGGATTATTGTCCATCAATTTGTACAGATTTTCATTCTCAAATATCTCCTAGGTTTTCCTGGTATTTTTTCTGAGTCCTTGTTCCGCCAGAATGAAGAGATAAAACTGTGTAACCATCACATAATAGGCTCATCAAAGATTGCTCTTATATCAAAGACTAACTTATTTGTGGCTGATATCTTTCATAGATTGGGCTTCGTTAGAGTACTATTGAAAACTATGAAAATCGAATGGTTATATTGTCCTAACATGAGACTACTCAGCAGTACATATCCTCTATTTTAATGAAACCTACCTCTCCCTTATGTGATTTTTTCAGAGTAACCGGTTAATCTTTATTTACACATCTAAACTAGTGGATTGATTACATATAAGTTTAAACAATATTTTATGTATGGGTAGGAATATTGCAGTCTAGTCAACAAGATCCAATCAATACTTAGAGATAGGGGAACATTTTTTACTGCTCAGAGAAAAACTGGTGTACATATCTCAGTCCTATAGTTTAGTTTTGGGCTGGGTAGCTCAGAGATAATATCTCGGACTGCGATGCTGGGTGATGGAAGTTAAAATCCTACAGACATGCTTTTCTGATTAGTTAGTACTATTTTGTTATGAAGGATCGTATGATTGGAATGGTAGCAAATGTATTTTTCTATTTTGAAGCAAATTTTGTTTTGTTTTACTGAACGAATAATGAGCAGTAATTCTGTGGCATAGATTATCAACTATTCATGTGAAGCACGTTTTCTATAATTATGCATTATGCATTTGATCGATAACGCCTTCTTAATCAACTACTTTGTTACTACATGTTTTACTTCTGTACAAGTTAGTGTGACAATATTCGTATAAGTCTAAAATAATATTTGCCGAGAAAACATCAAAATGGTTACGTGAAAAGGCTGATTTTTATACTTACGTCTGTGGTTCCACAATCAGGATCAATAGTTAAATGAATTTGATTGAATTTTCGAGGAGCAACAGGTGGACGTTGTTTAAGTGTTGTCGTAAATACCGACTGATGTCGTGGAGGTGTTGAAAAAGAGGAATTAAATTTACTGGTACTTTTTCCAATATTATCTATTCGATCTGAATAAAAGGTTGAATGTTTGTGATAATTTGAGTGTAAAGAATCATTAAAATTATGTGCGTCAGTATTGTAACCAGTGACCGAAGCAGACCTACTACTCGGAGCATATCGATGATCTGGATAAACTTCATCATGAAACAATTGTTTTCGTGATGTTTGTGAAGAATAATATGGTTTGGAATTATAATGCGTATTAGATGGAGGAGGAAGACCGGCGGCCATATTCATACTTGTTAAGCGTAATTCTTCCAATAAACGATCAAGTTCTTGTGTTCCGGCCATGATGTTAAGATAACGTGCTGCTTCGACTAAATCTTCTGTTGGATAGAAAGTTTGTACAGGCTCTAGATATACCATATATTTGAACAAAAAAGAAAGATATGTTATGTTCTCTCAATAAATATTCACTATTCAATTGATTGAATTTGTTATGGATAGATTTACTTACAGAAAATGCCTATGTACTGAAATATAATGATTTTCACAGTTGTATCAATAAGATGTAACTTCATGATATTGCAAAAAGTCAGGTCATTAGCTACTATTATGTTATTAGAAAGTTACATATTGTAACAAAACAGGTCAACTGTACGAGATAAATGTCTGTGCCAGTTAAGATATGCTTAGGCAAATAGTGAATGCGAATACATTGTTAAAGATAAATATGGTGAATTAAGAATATGTTTTTTTAGTTTTAAGTAAACTGATCACTAGGTAGTTAAGTATCAACTGGATCATTATTGTAGACAGCGGTTATGTGAATTACAGAAAATAATTAGTATTTAAATCTAATCAATAAATTCAGACAACTTTGTTTGTGTTCGTTTTACGAATATGTAACAGAACATGAGTCGAATAAACAAAAGTTGACCTGATGAATAGTAAATTTAGGTAAAAATTAGAATTTCGTAGAACTTCTTAAGTTCACAGCTAAAGATAGCCAGCGGGGAGTTAAAGTTCGTACATACGTCACCGTTTGGTTTTCATGACACTGAAAACATATAAGCATGTTCGATAATTTCTACATTCAGTCATTTTTTTAAAGTCTCGTCGGCTAGTGAAGATCAACATAAAACTAGGAATATATGCACGTTAGTTTGTGGAATATTCAACACTATCAACTGCCATCTCTTTACGTATATGCATGTATAATATCATATTCTGTGTCACAATCAGGATTGCTTATACAAGTCATTATATTTTTATACCTAATTAATATTAAATTAGCTATTTTATTAAATACTCATGCTTTATGCTATGGATCTCAACTTGGTTTCAAAAAATACAGCGCCCATTGTTAGTGTACTATGATGAGATGAAATGTCTTAGTTTCCCGTTGTCGATTCTAAGGATTGCAAACGATCAGTCTCTACTGGTATATAAGTATCATGACAGAAGTAACTCGATAATTTCATTTATTTGAAAGTTTTCATTAAGGTTGTAGTGTCCAGCAAAGGGATGCAATATATGTGTTCATTCTATTTTTGGCTCATTAGATGGGTAAAAAAGCATCTCAGTGTTGAAGTCCATACTGAAACTCGAAGCCGCTACCTTTTTTTTCCACGCCAATAAATTGTCGATTGAACTCCAGAGTCCAGATGGTCACTACCCTACCTAAGCCTGGTAAATATTTGTGACTAAACGACAATACCAGAGTAATCCATTCCAGATATATATGTGACAGCAGAGATTACTACTTTGCAGTCCTTAATAGCATCAATGGAACATGCAAACACGTTCGAGTGAAGTTAGGACAGATTACACAAGTTAGTATCTGGATTTTGTAGATAAGGTTCTTTGCAAAAACAAAGAATAAGATTAATTCTAATTATATCATTAGGCGTAAGATTTCTAAAAATATTATCAAATTATATCGCAATTATAGATAGATAGAAGAATTATTAAGGTGAATTAGAAACTGAATTTAAAGAGTACTATATAGCTCAGAATGTTGGAAGTCTTATATATATGATAGAAGTCCTAAGAATAATAGTCGTGATTCATAGAGGTTTGTCTATTATAGGGAAAGTTAAGCTCATGATAGGCAGAGTTCGTACAGCATCAAAATTCTAGGCAAACATAAAATTGGTCACTACTCAGTGCTTAGTCAGCCGTGGACATCTTAGTCTTACAGGAGGTCATTTGGTACCTAAAGGGAGCCTCGTTTCCCTTAAGATTTGAAGTGTGCCTTTCTGACCAGTACCAACTAGCACAAAACCTAGATCCAGGGTTTCTTGTCGACTATTTCTAACCACGTAAGATAATTATTGCCCGTATTAATAAAACCAAGTTCTTTTGATATTATTAGATGAAAGAGCAAATGATGTAGACTATGGGTTCAAAGAAACCACTAGATACATAAATGAAAAATGTAAAGTGATGATTGCAATAACAACGGTACCAACGTACAATAGTGTGACAATCAAACTGAATGAGAGGTTATCACAATAGAGCGTGATATAATATCGGTGATGAAAAAGTTTGTTTAGAAAGTAATGCGTTAGTGAAGAAAAATACCAGAATAAGAAAACTTCTTATCAGCCTCACTTAAAATTGATTAGAGATTTGCCTTGAGATGAATATTTGTACATAAAATCGTTCTAGCTACATTCATGATCCATTTATTTAGAAAGAGGCAATCAAAACGTGTTGTCTTTATTTTTATAAGGTTTCAAATAATCTGTGAATTGAAATCAATTACTTTAGTTCTGTCGCCTTAACTTGAGCGTCTCCGTGAAGGTTATTACTTAACGTGTTTTACTACTCAACCAATAGTACTTATTTCGCTTCTCCAATCTGTCAATTCTTGTTTTGTGTAAATGACGAAAATTAGTAGTTGGAAAGATTTTGTTCAAGTAACACATTCTAAGTAGTTCAAGTCAATGACGAAATTGCTATTTAATCACATTGGATTTACACCACCTCCTTAGCTTATGTAGATGAGCAATGTTTATTCCATTCATATTAATTATGGTCCAAGTTACATAGACTTCTTAAATCACAAGAAATTTATATAACAAGTAGTAACTACCATTGATGTTTGGCTATGAGGATAACATTTTGATTTTTTGTGAACAGTCATGAGTGTAAATCTCAAAAGTAACAATGAGATGTATGATAATGCATTCACCAAAAGACCTACAGAAAAATATTGAATTTAAATTTTTAATATCGTCTCATCATTATCATTATGCTGAAAAAATCGAATATCAACTAGTATGAATCTTAATTCTAAGTATTTATGCTACTGGCTTCAGCTATCTCACATTAGAGAATGTTCCATGATGGTCAGCAAAATAGACTAGTAGATAAATGGCAACGAGATTGATAAAAGTCAATTAGCATTGAGAACCAGAAGAACATAACAGTTAATCATACGTCATAAAGTAGAGTAAATACATTTGTCCTGCAGGAAGCCGAAAGTAACCCGAATAACTCAGTAGTAAGCTCTTTAACCGTGACACGATTCAGAATATAATGTGAGGCATCAGTCCCTTGCTAATAAGTATTAACCTACCATAAAACTTAGTTCCATTGGATTCTGTTAGTCAACTTATCACTTATTACCAGGTAATTACCAACACAATTTTGAATCACTTGAACAATCCAACGCTGACTTCGATCAGGACTAAGAATCTGACACTATGATATTGGTGACTAATAAGTAGCCAATTAATGTTCATACATCGCTTTTATTGTTTCATAAACTGTCTTGTCATATCTACCTATTTATTTTTAGTTAAGAAATGAAAAAAACGAAAATATTCTTTTTACTAGTCTACTGATTTATTATAATCTAATCCCTATAGTTCACACAAAAGTAGTGTTAGTAGGAGCCTCTGCATCAGTAGACCTTGAAATACACAAAGGAAAGACAAGATCCTCAGATATACTACGAAGAATACCAACCCAGTCAAACTTGACGAAGAAACTCAGGAACAGGAAGATACTGTCACTTAACTAGGGAGCACTATCGATAAACAAGGAGGATCTGATGCACACGTAAAGGTAAGGATTGGTAAAGAAAGAGCCGCATTCTACAATTGAACAACATATGGAACTCGAAACAACTGTCTTTCAACCAACATCAAAGTCACAATCTTGAATACGAACGTCAAGACAGTTCTACTATACGGAGCTGAAACTCTTAGAACTACTACAACCATCATCAAAAATGTAAAAGTTTTTGTAAACAATTGTCTACACAAGATACTTAATGTCCGTTGACCATATACCAACAACAAAAACAACAACAACCTACTGTGAGAGAAAACAAACTGTCTTCCATATAAGAGAAAATTAAGAAAAGATGTTTGAGGTGGATAGGAAATACATTAAGGAAGTTAGCAAACTGTATCACGAGGCAGGTGCTAACTTGGAATCCTGAAGGAAAATAAAAGAAAGGAAGACCAGGGAACATATTTCGTCGAGAATTGTAAGCAAACATTAAAAGAATGAATAACAACTGGAAATAACAGGAAAGATTTTTCAAGACAGAGTTAGATAAAAAATACTTGTAAGTAGTCTATGTAGTTCATTACAATTTTTCATTTGCCTTTTTTTTAAAAAAAAACATGAATTTAAATTATTACACATTTTGTTTTCATTCATTTTACATGGATTCACTAAAATATTGAAATAAGTAACATCTTTCTTTTTTACATAAATAATAGTTTTTAACTTTTAACTAGACAATAATAGACAGTGTCTGAATAATATTTTATTATGTAAAATATTCATAACAAATTTTTCATTGATTTTTCTTTTCAATAGTTACCATGTGTGTTATTTATTGATTAGTCGGTTTTGTTTTCTCTTTTGAAAAATTCATATCATTTTATTGATGATGATAATAATGATAATAATGAATGTAATCAACATTTTAAAAAAAAACAGAGAAATTTCGTTTTTTGTTGAATTCAATAGTGAATTTACTATTATTCTATATTACGTTTGTTGATTAAATTCGATTTGACACCTAAATCGAATGTAATTATTAAAAGAATGATGAATATCAGAAGAGGTTTTTGTGGATATAGTTGAGATCATAAGTCAATTGAAGCTAGACAATCATAGAAAATCTGGAAGAACTAGACGGCCATTTTGTCTTATTCTGGAACTCTTTAACAGTACACATCCTCGATCCCACCTCCCAAGATTCGAACCCAGGACATATCGGTCTTGCGTGTAACAATTATGGTATATGATAAAGTTTATTTTTATTTATCTATTAAAACTATACAATAATTATTTCATAGTTCTGAAAAACAACCTTTTATTTGTGAAACTATTGATTTTAATGTAGGTGTTACTTTTAAATGAATTAATGTAACGTAACCCATTG